CGTGAAAGACTCCTATGCAGCCATCAATTATAGGTTAAAAGCTATCTGGCCTGTTGAGATCAACTTCAAATATTTGGAGCTTCTCGGATGCATCTAGTAGGATTTTAAGACAATTTGCATCTTCCTTAAACTCTGGTTTTGAAAAAGAAGAAAAAGGGTTAGTAGGTTACCCTTAAAGAATTGACAGATGCCCAAAACACAATCAATGTGTTTTCTGAACATGATCTGATGTTCAGTTGAAAGGAAGCTTGAGATGAAGATGGGATCAATAAATATCATAATTTGTAACAATAGGAAGAAAAGAGGAAAGTACTTGGATCCAATCGGAAAGTGGTGCAAATAGAGTAGCCTTGTTGAAGGAACCTCTGGAATTCTCAAGGTTCAAAGTATCAACACAAGACGATATGTTGGTTGGGTGTATCGGCCTGTATCAATACTTTTTTTATGTTTTATTTATTTAATTTTTCAAAACCGGTTCAGAGGGGTCAATTTAAGTTTCGGCTACCCTCTGAACCATGGCCTGACCCGATACAACCCCTGTAGGGAAGTATTGGGAAGCCATCAACATGATACGTATTGGCCGATATGGGACAATACGTGTTGATACTTTGAACCTTGCTTGCTCTGGATCAACCATGAGGCAATGTACCCTACTCCACCTGTGACACACACCATTCCCTTTCCCCCTTCAATGTTCATCAGTTAATTCATTGGTAACTAGAATCAAAGCATTTATTTCTTTCTTGCTTGCTTTCTTTGATGCTGCTACTACTTCCTCTTCTTTTACTAAGAGCTTGGTCCTTTAAGCAGCTCGTATTTTCTTTGCTTGTAAATAAAATGAAAAGACAAAAAGAGAAACTATAAGACTGGATAATGTGGGATAGGAAAAGAGGTCGGGTAAAGAGGTCAACAGGGGTATTTTAATAAAAATAGATGCAAACTAATTTGCAAAAGGGTAAAATAGGCATTTAAAAAATGATTCTTTGGTTTAACGTTTTCTGCCTTGGTGATTGACGGAAGGGAGGTTTTTGTTAATTTATTTAAAAATCTAGGAGAGGTTTTTGCTTAAATGAAACTATAGGGGAAGTTTTTATGATTGTTAGAAACTTCAAGGAAGGTTTTTGTATTTTACCCGAATTCAAAAGGAGGGAGGGGGTTTGATTAGTGAAAGCTATCATATCTTTTTTGGCATCATAGGCTTTCCCAAGATAAAATTATACTAGCAGAGGGGCCCAGGGGCTAGATTGAAATTGTAACATTGCTATTTGCTAATCAAAAAAGATAATGACATCTCAATAAGAAACTTGCAATTATAAGTACTTAAGTCTTTAAACTCATATAAAGACTTAAAAGAGATTATCATGTGCTTGTTTTTTAAATATTGTTTTAGCAAAGTATCTCATATAAAAGAGTGTGATCATACAGTGATAGTTTTGAGTTCTACTTCATAGTTGTCCTTTGTTTTGCATCGAGAACTCCTAATTGACCTGGATGGTAGGACCGTTCGGCCTGAGAACCATCCAAGCAATCGGTTCCGTTTTACACCAAAACTCAATCCCTGGCAAAAAATCGTTGAATCAGTCAACGACCCATTGACCTGGGCAATTGACCTGTCGACCCATTCAACAGTTTTTGGACATTTTTTATTTTTTAATTTTTGTTGTTAGAACGGGCCACCCATTCGAACCGGACGATCGAACCGTCGACCTGAAAACCGGTGGCCAGAATGGTTCTGTTTTCGGGTTGTTTTCTAGATGTCAATAATTATACGAAATAATTTTGTAGTCATAGTCATGGGAAAGGTGGACATTGCAAGGGATTCCAAAACCTTGAAAGATAAATCCAAAGTGACCTTAAGCACAGAAAAAAATTGGTGGTAAATCCACCAAACTGGAAAAACCAAGGAAAAAAAAATCAAAAAATTGAGTCCAAAGTTTCACTTTGAGACAGAGCTAAACATACATAAAATCAAAAAAAGAGACAAAGTAGATCATGTTGTTAGAAAAAAAAACTTTGCACAAGAAAACCCAAAGAAAAAACAAAAGGGAAGAAATAAAATGGTAGTAAACCTTACACCGTTTTGGAGGATCTTGAAGAAGAAGACCAAAGACCAAAAAAAGCAAAAAAATGAAAAAAAGCAACATACCACACACGCTCGAATAAAGCCCATAGTAGAAAAAACCTCAGAATAGTGAAAATCCAAAAGCATAAAAAACCATGGCTATTGAACCACTGTTGACCCAGACAGATGGACATTTCAGCCCGGGAACTGTCCAGGCAACCTGTTTCGTTTTACCCCAATCCCGGTCCTTGGCCAAAAACCATTGAATCGATCAACGACCCATTAACCTAGGTGGTCGAACCGTCAACCCATTGACCCGTTCAATGGTTTTTTGCCATTTTTTTAATTGGGAATTGATATCGTGCAATCTAGGTGCTCCCTTGTGTGCTATGACTCGGACTTTGACTAGATGTCTACCTAGTTGGGCCGAGCTGATGTTTGAATGTCCGAGCTGATGTGTGCTGCAAGGAGTAGAAGGTGAGAATGCCCATGTACCTTTTACCAGTGGAGGGCACTCTGATGCTTAAGTTAGTAGGTGTTTGAGAAGTTTTCTGAGAGAATGAGAGATCTTTAGAAGGTTTAGTGCGCGCACCTTTTTGAGTGGGTTTGGGTGCCTTTTATAGGTCCCTTGACTTAGTGGCTTCAGGGTAACGGTCTTGAGCTCTTTGTGGAGCCGTTCTCCTATTTTCCTGGCACGTTAATGTGTCAGTTACTGGATCCTTGTGGAGGTTACGATTTGTCTAAGTAAGTCGAGGCATGCAACACGATGAGTCAGGGGTGGTTAGAGAGCTCTTCCTTGCAGGTCGCCTTAGGTCCTCTTAGCTTAGCCAACTCCTAGAACATGTCGCTATAATCTTACGTGGTCTGCCAGCTTGGCCTTGTCGAGGTGATGGACGGCCTAGGCAAGGTGCTCCAAGCTAACTTACTGAGCTGGTATGCTAACTTAGCATTGAGGTGTCATCTAGAAGCCACGTGTCGCTAAACGATTGGGAGTACCAAATTACCCCTAATCAGAAACCGTCCAGGCAACCGATTCTATTTTATCCTAATCTCGGTCCCTGACCAAAAATCATTGAATCGGTCAATGACCCATTGACCCGGGCGGTCGAATCGTAAACCCATTGGTCAATTCAATGGTTTTTGGCAATTTTTTTTTAATTTTTTGTTGTCAAAATGAGCCATCCATTCGAATTGGATGTTCGAATCGTCGACCTGAAAATCGGTGGCCAGAACGGTTCCATTTTCGGGTCATATGAGTCACACGCTCGAATGACACAACACGGATGATATTACTTAATGGACCTCCTTTTTTGCTTGTAATTTATGTTGTTAGAACGGGTCGTCCATTCGAACTGGACAGTTGAACTACCATTTTTTATTTTTTATTTTTAATTGGGAACTGTCTAGGCAACCTGTTCTGTTTTACCCCAATCCCGACCACTGGAAAAAAAATCGTTGAATTGGTCAACGACTCATTGACCTAAGCGGTCGAACCGAACCGTTCAATGGTTTTTGGTTGTTTTTTTATTCTTTTGATTTTTGTTGTCAAAACAGGCCATCCATTTGAACTAGACGGTCGAACCGCCGACCCAAAAACTGATGGCCAGAACGGTTTCGTTTTCAAGTCGTATGAGTTACATGCTCAAATGACATAACACGTATGATACTGCTTAATGGACCTTACACACTCACTTTTTTGCCCGTAATTTTTGTTGTCAGAATGGGCCATCCGTTTGAATCGGATGGTTAAACCGCCAATCCAAAAACTGGTGGTCAGAACGGTTCTATAATTTTTTGTTTACATTTTTTATTATTAGAATGGGCCGCCTGTTTGAACTAGATGATCGAATCGTCGACCAAAAAGCAGTGGTAGATAAGGTATATAAATTTTTTTACGTTTCTTTCTTGTAATATGAAAATTTTGAAGAATCTTTAATAATTATAATGGATTTGAATTATTCCCATTATAATCGTTAGTAATTATAATCGATAAGTTAATGCCATTTGGCGAAAGGGGAGACAACCCCTTTGTATTAAAAGAAAGGGAAGGACAAACATATATCAAACGAAAGGGTATTGGATGTCTAAAAGCAACTTTAAAAAGTAGTTGGATAAAGGTTTGATATAAAGAAGACAATTTTTTATTTTATTTTTAACACAACACACACACACAAACTTTTCAAGATTGGTGGGTAAATAGGGGATCCGAATCCTTTTGTGGTAGATTTGGGACTTGGTGGGTATGACTTTAAAAACAAGGAAAATGAGTTTAAGGAGATTTGTTTACTATCTTTAAGAGAGTTTCAAACCATTTCTCATTGATAGTTTTTCTTATTTAAAATAAAAAATTATTTTTAGAAGGAAAAAAACTTACCGGTATGCATGGTTTTAAGCTTTGAGTTGACTTTTGGTATGACACTGATTCGAGCAGGCCCATTCAAATTTTGAATAAAGTATAAAAGTCATTGTTCAAAAAGTGGTCTCTTGAACTTTTACTAAAAATATGGATCAAAATCTTTGCAAGAAAATCCACCCAAAATTTCTAAGTCTATGTTTTGTTTGATGGAAAATAAAATAGAAACATAGTTGAGAAAAAAAAATTCTTAGGGGAATCTGTGAAAAAAATTTTAAGAGCTTTTCCGAAAGTTTCTGTTTTTCTGTTCTTTTTTTTGGTGAAAAAAGAAATAGGAAGAAAAAAAGAAATGTGACACAAGTTAAAATATTATTTAAAATATATAATTAAGGTTATGTTCAACCTGGATCCGTGGCACAATGGTAGCGCGTCTGACTCCAGATCAGAAGGTTGCGTGTTCGATTCACGTCGGGTTCAATTCCCCTATTACTTTTATATTTTAATAAAAATGGTTATCCAAAATTACGCAACAAACCTCTTTATTTTATAAAAGGACAAAACTACCCTTAACTTCAACCTCTAGTTGGGGTTGCTAACAGTAATCCACAGACGTGACCTACCTCCCTCGCTGTAACCTGTGAGTGAGTCTGAGTTCTGACCTCTCAACAAAGAACAAAGACTGTAGAAGTAGGAGGGAGTAGAGAGAGAGAGAGAGAGAGATGGAACGCCAACAGCAGCAACGTGAAGATGATGAGCAGAGCGCGCAAGAAGAGCAGGAGCATGAAGTTTACGGAGGAGAGATTCCAGACTATGGAGAGATGGACGCCGACGTCGAATTCCCCGGGGATGAAGAAGTCGATCCTAATTCGAAGGTCTGTTCTCCATCTCTCTCTCCCTCTGTTCTTCTGAAGCCCTAAATTTTCTAGCACCTCTCTCCCTCTCTATCTTGCTCTTGCCCTAATTTTCTTTTCTTTTCCTTTTTTTTTTCTGGTTCTCTGCTTTTCGATGGAAAACCAAAATACAATTCGTTGGAGTAACAAATATATATTCTGTGTGTGTACAGAACCTGGAAGATATGAAGAAGAGACTCAAGGAGATCGAGGAAGAAGCAGGTGCTCTTCGCGAGATGCAGGCCAAAGTCGAGAAGGAAATGGGTATCGTTCAAGGTAATTTCTCTCGTCTGTATTCTCTTCTTTTGGCAAGCACCAATAAAATTAGGAGCACGATTTGTTTTCCTATTGAATATCGTTTTCCATGGAAATCATCTGTGCGATGAAGCCCTTGTTAAATTGTATCAAAAAATAATATGAGGTGGGATTAGTATTGTTGTAATAGGAGGATCTAACCTGCATGGACACAGACACACAGTCGGAATACTTTGCGTGTTGAGGATCCATTGCCGAATGGATTATTATGTCAATTGTTTTGATTGGTGATTATTATGTAAGCTTTTGATTCATGTAACTTGTATAGAATATGGCATAAATAAATATAAATGCTCGTCTTTATCAAATAAAAGCTTTGTATAGGAAAAGATGGAATTTGTTATGCAAGCTAGCTGCTCGTTTACATCACTAGTTGGTTGACATGTGACTGACATGAACATTTCATCCACTTCACCTGCAACACGTAGCATGATATTGCCGTCATGGATATTTTCATTACAGAATAAAGAAATATTGGGATTTGGGACAACCTAAAACATTTCGTCACATTGAAATTCTGATGGACAAAACTAAGATTTGGCTCATATTTAGGTCCATGGGGGGAAGTGACAGCAACAAGAGTGGAGATTTTTGCTCTAGTACAAGGCTTAAGAGTAAGCTACTTTTTAGGGCCGGACAGGCTAGAATTGTATGGTGGCCCAATGGTAACGTTTTGAGTGGAGGCTTAAGGGAAGCAATATCTCTAGCAGCCAGGATGAGCAGCTTGTTTGAATGAATTTGGAAATCAGTCAATAGCCTAGCTGATAGTCCAAGGGGCTCAATTGAATCGGATATAATCCAATTCAAATTCAAACCTGATTCATTTATGTTGGATTTGGATATCCATTTGGCCACAATTGGATTTGAAAAGGTGATCTGCTTATGAATTGTATTAAATCCAGATATTGCTTGATCCAATTCACTAGGACCCATTTTGATCCAATTTGATTATTTATATATATTATAACTCATCGCTAACCCAAGAAGTACCCAAAGAAAGAAAAGAAAAACAAAAGAGAAGGAAATGATGACAGAACAAATCAGAGCAGAAATGTAAAAGAAGAAATGATTACACACTAAACAATTCTATGTTTCTTAGGCAATGTGCATTGAGGAGTAGCACGTGTAGTATCCCACTCACCATCTCTCTTTTCTCTATTTCTTGGATGAAGAATATGCAATGATGACAACGAAGAAGATACACACACACATGGGTTCGACTATGATGCTGGAAAGACATGATACTGGAAAAGCTTATAACCAATCAAAATTCATGGGTGGTTTTGATTAGCCAAATCCTTTCTGGTATCATAGATTTTTCCTATATATACATATGCAGTTTTTTAGAATTAAGTTCTGACAAAGAATTATAGAAATCTGGTCACTCCCATGTGCTGGGTGGAAGAAATTGAACTTTGATGGTAGCTATATGGGCAATCCTAGCAATGTATTCAAGGTCCTGTTCGGCAAGGTGATGTGGTGAGATCAGAACTAATGGCAGAAGTTTACGGGGTGGAGAAGGCTATAGAAATGGGGATTGAGAGACTAATCATTGAGGTGATTCAAAAATAGTTGTGGGCTGGCTGAAAAAGGAGGAAGGGGTAATTTGGCAGCTAAGGAATGAGTTCAGGCACTTCAACTTGTTGTCTAAAGATATTCTCATCCAAGAATGGCAAATGGCTTTGCAGATCAGCTAGCAAAACAAGGGGTTAACAGGGAACATTGTTTTTGGGATCAGTTGTAAGGCTGGAAAGTTAAAAGTTGACAGTTGGCAAACTGTAAATTCTAGTGGGGTAGCTGAGGCTACTCAATTTCTGTAATCTTTCAAAATTTTCTTAACGAAATCTCCTTTATTGATAAAAAAAAAGATATGCTTATCCAAATAAGATGGATTAGAAGGTCTGCAAATCCCATGGCAGATGACCTAGCTAAACAAGGAATTCAGAGACAATCCATGTTTTGGGCTCAGTTATAAATTTGGGATGGTTTTGGGTTTGCTGTTTTTTCACAACCTCATGTTGTATTCTTCTATTCTAATTTAATGAATTAATTTTCTTGTTGCTAATAAAAAAATTAGAATTAAGTGAGATTTGGGAATTGGGATTTAGATAAACCTTTTTTTTTATATTTACAGCATATATATTTTTTGTTTTATATTTAATTTTGTAGATTTATGCTGATTTTATACATACTTTCTGATATTTGAGTTCAGTTGGATTCAAATCGGATATCCAAATGTGTAAATTAATTGAATTTGAACCTGTGCAACACTGTATATCTAATTTCAGTAACTTGGGAATAAGGTTGTTATTTATCAGAATCTTAGGTGGTTGTACGTTTCCTTTTTTTTGTGTGCTCAGTTTTCTCAATTACTACTTTCTGCACCAGCTTTAACCTTCATAAATCAATTGGATGTTCTTGGGGTTGCATTCTAAAGCTATATATACTATACACCTGGGATTTCCTGTCTCAAGCAGGAGCTGGTTCTCAATTGATCATTTGTTTCATCCCATATTTCTAACCACCACAAATTGGGTTGACTAAATGTGTGGATAATCAAATGTTATGCAGTTGGTTTTAAACATTTCTTCTATTTCTTGTCTCTTGGCCTTATTAGCAGTTATGCTTAACTTAGTAATTTGTTATTTTGATTGGATTGTGCATAAAGATCCCTCTAGTGCTGCTGCAACTCAAGCTGAAAAAGAGGAGGTTGATTCACGCTCAATATATGTTGGTAATGTGAGGGTTTGCAATCCTTTTACTATATTTTAATTGTTTCTTTTTGGATTTTTCTTTTATACATCTATCTTTTCTAGAAAATTTATAGTTCTGCATGCTCTTTTCTAATAAAACTCTTAATACTGTTGCTGGGTAGTCACTCTCTATGGTTTTACTAGAAGGGCTTTCTTACTCCACTTATTCATGCTTTAGGGAGATGTATGAAGTGTTGTTGACTAGGGGTGAGCATTATTCAGTTAAAATCGAAAAGCTGAACCAAAAGTTTTGGTTTTGGTTTTCAGAATTAGAAATTTATTTAACCGTGTTTGCTGAAGTGCAGCAGTAGAAGAAGAAGAAGAAGAGAAGAGACCAGTGAATGGGCGGCAATCTAATCTCAGCTGGCCCTAGAAGTTAATGTTAGTATTAACATTAAGATATTACAGTAAAAAACTAGAATGCCCCTGATTAGTGATGGGACACCTAGACCGTACAAAATAAAACAGGTTTAGGCCCAACAACTAAAGGCCCATAACAGACTATAGAGGCTGTAGGGAAGTGTTCTTCCGCTAGGACATAACAGTAGCTTTTAGACACTTTTTCCCAGATCTTAGAGCCTGTAGGGAAGTGTTGAACAGTCCTTGCTACCCTTGGAGTCATTGAAGCAAGCAGCTAGGACATAACAGTAGCATTCTCCTTGTGCCAGGTTGAGTATTCAGCATCATCCTCTTGAGGTTCCTTCTTCTATCCATCAATATAAACCATAAACATGGTTTAAAAAGTCGCGACATTTTGCTAATGTCGCCCGACATATGTTGGTGTCGAGACATACTGACATGAACTCTCACTTGAATTAAAAAAATACAAAATGTCGGTTGATGTTTCGACCATTTCGGTAAATATTGTCTATGTCGTTTAAAAAAACAAAAAAAAAAGAATATTTCAAAATATTTCATCCAAGTGTCAGCAAATCAGCATATATTGAAAGTGAAGACAATCAAATTTCATCATAAACAAAAAGAGAAAAAAAGAGAGATTAAATGGGAAAAAAGAAGTTTTCAGTTTATTTACCTGAAGCTGGAAGAAGTACAACTTCAGGATTGAATAGGCACAGGAGTGGCTTCTACCCTCGGTCTTGTGCTGAAATACCTTATTTGAATAAGACACAGGACATTGGACATCTAAAACTCCCAAAGAAATTGCTCTCATCTCACTCTCAAGTCTCATATTGATTCAGGTATGCAATACTATGATTACTATCCTATTTCCCTCTCACAGTGAATAACCATGAAAAATAAGGGGAGAAAAGGAAAAAAAATAAAGATAAGGAGCTGAGGAGAATGCTTGTCTTCATCTTCCTCTTCTATTTATTCGTCTTCATCTGCGGCTTCCTAAAATCCTCGCAAAATCGCACTGCATCTTTGCGTCTTTGTAGAGTCTTCGAAATTTCAGGTCGAGGGTTCGAATGACTAATGAACCCTTAAGCCTAAATGTTTAAGTTTATGTTATAAAAGACATGCCACAGTACATGATGGTCTATATAAGTCTATAGACCATCACAAAAGTAAGCCTTTAAATGGAATCTTTAAAACATAATTACAAGTATGTTATAGTGCAATGGGGTCTATTGTAATACTATAGACCTCCCAATAGAAAACTTATAAAAAGAATCTTTAATGTATTCTTATAGTCTTATTACAAGTATATGAAGGTCTATAGTAATATTGTAGACCCTCATTATAAAAGCCAACAAAAATGAATAAATAATAAGAAAATTAATATTTAAGATAAAATATAAAATATTCATAAAAACAAATGGTTAAACCAACTAATTATTAAAATAAAATAAAATGCATGAATAAAATGTTTTTATAATAATAAAATATTAAATGGTTTGTCTAATTTATATGATTTAATAAATAGTTTATATAGTGATATTGTATACCCTCATTATAAAAGTAAAAAAAATGAAATAATAATAAGAAAGTTTATATTTGAGATTAAATATTCATAAAAACCAAAAATAGTGAGATATTTTATATAATAATAAAAATATTACTTAAACTAATTACTTATTAGAATAAAATAAAATGATTTTCTTAATAATAAAAAAATTAAATGGTTTATATTGTTTATATGATTTAATTTTAATTATTTATTAGAACAAAAAGATATGCATCATTGAAGATAATAGTCTAGAAAGGTGCATTCATGTTTATTTTATCATTTTACAGAATATCATTGCATATTTCCACATATTTCATAATATTTCTGCAATGTCTATAATTTTTACAATATTTCCATCTGACATTTCTGACATTACCAACATATGTCCTATATTTGGGTAAGCCACATTCCCATCAACATCGACATTTTAATCCTTGCCCATAAGTTCCCGGGAAGTAATAAAAAGCTTGTCTGAAACGGACCATTCTCTGAAGTTGTAATCGTCTAACAACACTGGTGATTTGCAGACTATGCAGATTTGGGTTTTCTAGGTTTGAGGATCTCCCACCAGTCCTATTGTCCTTAGAGGACACTTATCCTGATATTGTGGACATATTCTACTTCTAACAGCAACCTACAGCTGTAGTCTCAAGGAGAAAGACAAGGTTTAATACTTGTTAGAGCTGTTACTGGACTGAAAACAATCAATACCCTACTGAGATTAATTTTCTGTAATTCCTGAGACCTTCCCACACCCAATGGATGTTAGAAGAAGCTTTACAACTGGAAAAAGTTTTCCACTGAACTGAAAGGAATCTCTGTACTCAAACCTGTAACTAAGAAACTTCTGTAACTGGACTGGGAACACTCTCTGTAAACAAATCAACCACTTCTGGAAGTCAAACCTGGGCCGTAAACACTTTCTGTGATCTGTTCTAACTCCCAAACAGCAACTAGGACTGTCCACTCAGTCCTCCTTCCTAGATCTGTTCTACACAGATCTCTCTAGTAGCCGAATGGCTACTGCTGCAGAACCACTAGCAGGGCATAAACAGGCTGGGGAAACTCTCTTTGGTCCCTACACCCAAAGAGAAACCCTAGACACAGACCTTTTTGTAGTCTACGATCAGTCCTAGGTCTTCTTCACAGTAGCCAAGACAAGGAGAAAGAAAAAAAAGATAGAAGAGAGAAGAAAAGGAGAAACTAGATGTATTCAGTATTTATCAAAAAAAAAAAAACTAGATGTATTTAGTCAGGCCGATTGGTGCTCTGGTAACCATGTTTGCTGAAGTGCAGCAGTAGAAGAAGAAAAAGAAAAGAAGAGTAGAAGAGAAGAGACCAGTGAATGGGCGGCAATCTAATCTCAGCCGTCCTAGAAGCTAATATTTAATATTAACATTAAGATGTTACAGTAAAAGACTAGAATACCCCTGATTAGTAATGGGACACTGACACCTAGACAGTACAAAATAAAACAGGTCTAGGCCCAATAACTGACCATAGAACTTGGGCATAGAATGATAAATAAGCCCACCAAAACTTAATCACTCGACCCAACAATCAACTGAATTTCATTATATAATATGTAATATGACATATATAATATATATATGTTATATGTTATATGTTATAATATATAATATTAATAAAATTCTGCTTTTACCAACCAATCCGAAAATTTAGGTTTGGTTTTTAACCAAATAAACTGAATGTTCACCCCAGTGTTGACATCCTTAAGTGACTGATCTTGCTATTAGGTATCCTTGTATTTTTTTTTTGAAAAGTAAAAAGGAAAGAAATTATTAAGAAAGAGAAGCTAATTACAATTGGCATCAGGGTGTTAAGATATCACCCAACCCAACAACACAAAGCAACTAAAAACATCAAAGGCAAATGTCACAGAGAGAGAACAACATAAGCCTCCCCAAATCAAGAGCAACTTAATCATCTCCTTGAACACTTCTTCTTGCCCATCTCCTTCCTTATTCCACGTCTCTCTCCTCCTTCCCCTACTATGTTCTTCTTCATTCTCTCTTCCTTCTTACTCCTTTCAAATGCTTCAAAAGCCCTTCTACAAACTTCTTTCTATCCCAAAAAACAGACCAAAGCTTTTTTTATTTATTTTTGATGAATAACAGACCCAAGCCTTTTCCAACCCCAACATTCTTATCAACCAAACGCTCAATCTCCACTTCCCCCCTCCTCACTAATTGACTGAGACTCATCAAGACTCTTATCAAAATCTCAACCACCCTCCTCCTTTTCCTTTGGCTTTGACCTTAACTCCAAACTTTCCTCAAGAGAAGTCGACAATTGCATCTCCTCCCCATTTGAAGCTGGAGACTCGGCTCCTCGCCCCTCAGCATTTGTTCCTTTTTCTTATAAACTCTCTTAAATTGATTTGTAGGACCATCCCCACTCAAACAATCTTTTAATCTTGAAAAAAACTTCTGGAACATGAATATAATGGTACTTGAGTTTCTAGATTTCTTCAATACCTATAAAGCATCATTGTCTGTTTTCTTGCTCACATTTTTTCTTCTCCGACCCAAGTCAACTCCAAGCTTTCCAAACTAGTACTTCTTATTTTAAGTAATCCTCACAGTCTTCCAACAATCCACTCTCACCTTCTTTGCCTACATCCTTTATGAAGTAGTTGGCCACCGAACTCTTATCTTCACCCCCTTCAAAGGCTTCCCCTCCTTTTCTTCCCTTCTTAACACTCCCTTCCCCTCTTACAACTTCCTCCGCTCCTTCCCCCGGACTTGCCTCCTTTCCCTCCTTCTCTCCCTTTAACCTTGCATCACCCTGGTTGAACGAATCTAGCCTCCCCTCCTATGACAATCCAGGAAGAACCTCGACCAGGAATGAACCAAAACAAGTCACCTTACTTGCCTGCCTGTCAAGGTCTACCTTCTCCCTCCGAACTTCACATGATTCTACTCCCCTAAATCAACCTTATCCTTGCAGTTATCAAAGCATCAATGCTCCTCAAAACCTGCTCAAGCAGGCTCATCCTTCAGACTTCCACTCTTCTTTCCAGTGCTATCAAATGTAGCAACCACCCAAAACCATTCCTCTTCCTTATCATTTTGAGAAACATAAAAGTCTCTTTTTCTTCTCCACTTGAAAGACTTAAACTTGGAGCCTCTTCCCTTGAAAACCTTTAACTTATCAAGCTGGTCACCACTTTTAACAATCCTAAACTTCCAATTTGACTACTAGTCCCCACTCCCATTGCCAAAATCTTCTTTAACTAGCTGTGACTCTTCCCTTGAAAACCTTTAACTTATCAAGCTGATCACCACTTTTAACAATCCTAAACTTCAAATTTGACAACTAGTTCCCACTCCCATTGCCAAAATCTTCTTTAACCAGCTGTGATCCTTCAAGAACCTCTATTAACCACCCACTCTCTAGGATGCGAAAACCTCTATTAACCACCCACTCTCTGTGACCCTTCCACACCATCTCCTCTTCCATGTGTTTCTTCATTAAAACTTCTTTTCCATCCAAAATTACCTCTTTGCCCCCCCCGGGATTTGTCTTCCTCCACCGAGCAACCCTTTGCTTTACCTAAATCACCAGAGCTACAACCCTGAAACTCCAACCCCCTCTCAACTTTCTCTTCTTTCCTTATACTCATTTCATATATAAGTAGCATTTTTAACATTTCTAGACTATGATGAGGGTAGAACATAGGGAATAAATGAAAAGCTCTCTTCTCACATCTGTTGTCAATCTAGTATCTTATTTATGAATAGAGTACTGCCAATACCTATTTTAGCARCCTAGCTAATCTGACGAACCATCTATTGCATGCAAACAAATGGGGAAAGAAAAAAAAACAGATTTTCTATTTCTTTTTACAGCTTATGGGTATTTTGCAATTTTATTTGATCTGCATCTGGAATTATGTCCACAGTTATTAAGGCGGTGAGGCTTACCATAAATAAAATAGGTGGTCAGTCAAATTGGATGCAATTTGGGCTTTCTTGGTCATCTGGGCTGATAATTGATTTAATTTTTTAAAATAAAAGGCCTGGAATAAGGCCCTAGGATCTTTTGATGTGTTAAGCAAAAGCCTTGAAATGTGAGGCTGTGGTTTAATGAGATCTAATTAGGAATGGCAATGGGTAAGGTACTCGTGCAAATTGCCCTACCCATTCCCGAACCCGCCTATGTATCCCTGATTCCAAACCCGTCCCAAACCCGTCTAACTTTTCCTCTCAATTTCTCAATCCATCCATTAAACCCGTCCTGACCCGTCCCACCCGTTAAACCCCTTGACCCAACGTTTTCTACTAAAAAGAAGTCTATTAATGCTTATAGTGTGACTTGAACCCAGATCGATTAATGATAGCACAAATCTCTTATAGCACTACTTTAAGCCACTAAGCCATCTCGCCTTTTGTGCTATTTAATGAAAAAAAATAGGTTTTATTTAACTTTTGTGTTCATGAAAACAATCAATACATATATATGATTAACAATTCCAACTAAAAATTAAAAGAAATAATATTTAAAATTAGCATTTTATATCTAAATGATATAAACAATATATCAATTCCAAATTTGCATCAAATGATGATTTTAGTTCCAAGAAATTTATACAAATTAAATATTAATAATAGAATAGTTGTCTTAGTACTTGAAATTTATAAACTTGTGCACGATATATAATATAATAGGTTCATATTTATGCATCCCGGGTATCGGGTATCAGATACCCTAAAGTCAAAACCCAAACCCTACAAGGTTTTAATCTAAAATCCCAAACCCTATAGGGTTTTGATAAATGGGTCCTATTAGGGTCAGGATGGGTTGGATACCCAAAAATTTCCGCGAAATTGCCATCCCTAGATCTAATTTTCTCAAGAAGAAACCAGAACCAAGAACATGATGATAAAAATTATGGAGGTATTGAAGGGAGAAACCTTTACCAATTTGGGGGGAGAATAGTGATGAAGTTTAGTTACTAATGAGGGGAAAGAGTTTTATTAAAAAAAGGGATGGAGAAGTAAATGTGATGTTACCTATAAAAAAAAGTAAATCTGATGTAGCAAGGGGTGAAATTAAGAAGGTAGAGTCAGGATGATAGATATGCAGGTAAGTTATCTTGGATATATTATGCTTATGATGAAGTCTTAGGTTGTTTTCAATCAAAATCTTGTGTTTGTAAGAAAATGGATGTTGGTAATAACTTATAAAAGAAATGGTTGAGGGTAATGCTGTATTTGGAAGGATGTGCATAATTGTTTTCTTTGATTGCCAAGGGTTTGTTGGTTAGTAGTTCTTCTGTTATAGTTTTTTTTTTTTTTTGGGGGGGGGGGGGGNGGGGGTATGGAGAAATATTGTTTAAGGGTTTGGTTTGGTATGGGAAGATGCACTTTGTAGGGAGAGTGTTGTTTCTTAGTTTTCTTGATCACTTTTGGTGATTTCTTATAGCCTCTCTTTGTTTCCTTGTCTTTTTTTATTATTGTAAAAGAATGGAGTTATGTACAAAAGGTACATTTTTTTTTGTGTAAGAAAGGAACCAATCATCATTTTAATATCAAATGTAAAGTGTTTAGGGATTTAGAAAAAGAAAGAAAATCTAATCACAGTTTAAATTGGTCTTCTGATGAAAACCTTACTTCAATGGTGAATCCTTTGTCTATGTATTTTCATCTTGTCAAGTCAAAATCCTGGATACTGATAAAATGTCAGAATTCAGAACCCTGGACATGTGTTGGACTGACTTCCATGTCTGTTTCAACATTGCTGTGACCCTAACACACTTAGTTCTGGTTCAGAACTGAGAAGTAATTAAGGAAGCATTTGTGGTCATACAGAACATTTTCTTTTAAGATCTGGCTAATTTTACAGACTGGATATGCTGGTTTTGTTGTGAAAGAGATAGAATATTTGTTTCTGTATAAAAGGAGTGAAAAAAATAGCTGAACCTTTCAGATTTAAAACTTCCTTTGCCCTTTCTATGTTGAAACAGATTGAGCATTCAAAACAGACTGTTTAAAGTGGAGCTTAGGGTGGTAGTGAAATAAGAGAGCTAACTATCTTTTTCATGATCATTTACCATTTTATTGAAAATAACTTTTTTATAGAATTTATCTGATTTATGTCTAAGAACTATCATGGCTTGTAAGTTTCATGGATTAGTCCCATTGATATTTGGATTTTTTAGTTAAATATCTCTATTTGTCTCCACTTTTACACTGAGCAGATATTTCATGAATGCCAGGCAAAAAGGGTTCCCTCAAGGACTCAATAATTAATTCTAACTTTGTGGTTGTCCTGTTTGGGGTCTGGTTTCTTCTCAGTGAGGAGAGGCTGATAACGGCATTATATCATTTGCATGGTAATTAGCCAGTTCTGTCCTAATAAGGTGTAGGAAGAATGGTAGATAAGCTATTGATAAATCTCTGCTTAGCGCCTACATTTCCCAGTGAGCAAATTGTCTGTTTCTAAGCTGAGTTCTGTTTTCTATTTCTTTGTATGCACCTATGCACTCAGTGCCTGTTTGGAAGCTTTGTGAAATGGAGTGTTCTCATTTTTATTTTGCATAGCATGTGAATTCAACATTGTTGTCACCTAAATTTGGTTTCTTCATGGTGATGAGTGAACCCTAAATGAGTTATTTTTTTTAGAAAACCTGAAATGACCCCTTTGTAATTTTGTATTAACAATTTGGAATGGACCTGTTTAAGATGGTATACTTGTTTTCTTGAATGGAAAGGAAAAATTGTAGGAAATATAATTTCATTTAATGTTGCTCCAAATTCCAAAATAGGTATTACATAAGGAAGTAAATTATTATAAACAAAGTGTAAATTATTATAAATTATTATCTTTCTGCTTCTTGAGATTAATGTTTATGTAGTCATATTCCCTTTGCTCATTTTAACCAGTGAATTTGGTGTATTTCTCTTATCAGTAATCGTGGTTTTCCTTTTCTTTTTCTTTGTCTTCCCCTCTTCCTTGTTTGTGTCTGTTTTTTAGTTTTTACCACTTAAGGAAAATCTTGGATGGAAGGAAAGTTAACCTGTATAATCCTTCTGTACTTCAGGTAGACTACGCATGTACTCCTGAGGAAGTCCAGCAGCATTTCCAATCTTGTGGAACAGTGAACAGAGTAACAATTTTGACAGACAAGTTTGGTCAGCCGAAAGGATTTGCCTATGTTGAATTTGTTGAAACTGATGCCGTTCAAAATGCTCTCCTGTTAAATGAGTCAGAGTTGCATGGTCGTCAATTAAAGGTCTTTGAGTTTGTAATTAGAAGAATATGGTTTGACCTGTAATTTGTTATTTAAATGCTAAGCATTTTTTATCGTTCTGCAGGTATCTGCTAAGCGGACCAACATTCCTGGAATGAAGCAGTACCGAGGAAGAAGACCCAATCCATATCTTGGCTTTCGTGGCCGAAGGCCGTTCATGCCAGGCCCTCCCTTTGCTCCTTATGGATATGGGTAAATTTTGATTTTTTTTTGTTGAAGTCTTTTACTTGCTTATTTTTCTAGGGTTTGAGTAGGAAACTACCAAACTGGCATCTCTAATTTGGGGTTAAGATTTAACATTGAAAATCGTTGCCTTTTGAGTAAGGTTTTGCAGTCAAATTGCTTTATGTGTTGGTTTGCTTTCTTAACCTGCATTCGATATTTTTATAGAGTACAAGTGTGAAATTTAATTATAATTTCCACCTCTGCACAGGAAGGCTCCGAGGTTCAGGCCGCCCATGCGATACAGGCCATACTATTGATGAGTTCTAATCGGTGTGCCGGGGTGTTGATTCGGTGGCCAAGAATGTAGCATCTGATGGATGTTCTCTGTGGTGTAAGGTAATCCATTTTCTCCAATGCTTGTATTATCTTTCGCACATGAAAGGGCTAACTTGGTTTTGCCAAAATCTTTCATCATTTGGTCTCGTACACTTTCCACCCTGTAAGCTATGAAACTTGGATTTATGTTATTGGCATACAAGGATTAATATTCGTGCCATCAAACAAGAAAGGTTGATAGATAATGAAGACACCTTCCTTGCTCAGGCTATTTTCAATCTTCTGATGCTTCTGCATTAGTTGCTGCTATAAATGTTGAGTTTTGATAAAATATCACACTGCCATATTATGTTTTTAAGGTTTTGATTAGCCTCTTGTGCTTCTAGTTGTTTATGAGAATGAGATCCCATTCCCATATTAGAAAATATTCAGCTACATCATTTTTCTAATAAGCAATAGTTTATTTAACAAAATGTTTAAAATTGGGGTTTGTAGTTGTACTTGTGCACTTGCATTCATGGAATGTGTCCTATTTCATGTGTCTAAAGTCCAATACATATAAGATCACACGTATAATGGGGTCTGAATGCAACTATACAAGTTCAACCCTTAACAAGTGCAGGTGGGAGGTGGCAATGGGTATCCAAATATATCCTGTATCCAATTACCTGATACCTGATATACCCGGTCCTTATTAGCACAAATTTTAGGCTTGATTATTAACGGTCCAACTCGGCTAAGAACCCTTTGGCTCAATTTGGAAAGAGTATAAATACAAATATGTACATTACAAAGCCTTGCATTTTGTATTTCTGAACCTCTATTTGCACTTCATTTGCATTCGTACTCTTTCCAAACTGAGCTTTTAGGAATTGTCCGACTCAGAACCGGTTACTGAAAATCCCATTAAACATTTTTTTTCTTTTTATTATTAACCATGTGAATGTAACGGAACTCAGAATTATCGTTACTTAATAGGAGTTTGTCAATTTCCAAATATCCAATTAGTTTTGACTTTTGAATTTTGATATTTGGTGGGTTCGGGTCTCTGGTCCGGAACCTCTTGCCATATACTGGTTCAGACCCAATAAGATCCAGAAGTAATTCCGATGATATGCTATGGGTTTGGTATATATGGATCCACCCAAATCCCCTCTTTCTCTCTCTCTATCCTCTTGGTATCTTCTAATTGATCTCAAGTCTCTGCTACGACCAGTAGGAGACCTTACCAACCAGCTGGTTGGCACCTAGCGAATCCACCCAAATCTGATTCGCTAAAAACACTTTTAGGTTCAGGATTTTCTTCTAAATTCTAAAAAGGCATAAAGCCCCAATTTTAGGGCTGGATTGAAGGGCTAAGTTTTGGTTGAGTCGTTTTCATTTAGCTGCCTTGGAGAAGCTACTTAAAAAAAGCTTCAAGGGAAGGTGGGGGGGTGGGGTGGGGAGGTGAGGGGGGCAATGGATTGAATAAAAATTTTCATTGGAAGGCCATTTTTTTTTTTCGGTAAGAACAAATTTTTATTTGAGTGCCTGGTTGTTTGGGAGGGCTGAATTGCAGTGGCTTTTGTCTTTTATGATGGGCCGGTCTCATATGGGGCATTGTATAAGCTATGTTAGTATGTTTGGTGAAAAATTTGAAGATCCCAAATCGGCTGCCAGTCATTTGAAGGGCTGCCCACAGCTTTTTTGAATAGCTTATTTGGAATCATTCAAAGCAGCTGAACCATCTTAGCTGAAGTTTCAGATCGGCCCTCCCAAACAGGCCCTGAATGTACAACCATTTAGCTGAACAGGTGGTTCACCTTGACCTGCAATTTGGGTGGGCCATACCTGAGCCCGATCCAATCCAGCCAGAGCTTTTGTACTATGGGCTGAACTTCGGCCAATTTGGGCCTGACTTGTGTTGGGCATGGGTTGAAGCCTCAGGTATCCAAGTTCGGCTTGACCCATTCCAAGTCTGCCCAAACAAATATATGCATGCATTTTCTTTATACAAAAATATCTTTTTTTAATCATATATAAGTATAAAATATGTATATGTACTTTTTTTGGTAAACATATGTCTACTTTTTGTAAATGAAATTTGTACATATTTCCAATCCATTCTACTCCTAACTTTGTTCATAACATAATGTCCAATAAAAGGTGGCTTTACAAAAAATATATCCAATAATTCTTTTAAACCCAATCACCCATCTGAGTCCGTTGAGCCTAACCCAATCTGAGCTAGGAGTGCAACTCAAGTTGACCCGACTTAGCATTTTACACAGTTTCACCCCTAACCTGCGCCCAGGATCAGCCCAAGTATTGGGTTAAGATTGGATTGGACCTAGGTTATTAACCTTGGGCTTAACCTCAGATTGGTCCAGGCCTGAGCCTGAGGTATAGACTTCGAACATTTTAAGGTTGCATTTGGATTGGCCTTCAATCTGACCCAATCAGCCTGAGTTGCACCCTTACCTTACAAAGTCAAAAGCTACCATGTGAAAATCCCTTCAAATTTGCACTAGACTTGGGTTTTGGGGTTTAGAAGTGTTTTGATTTTAGTTTTTAACGTTATTTTTTAAAGTAATTCTTACCAAAGACAACTACTTAAAATGCCACTTTTCTATCCCACACTCAAAAGCAAAAGCTTAATAATTGTAACTTGCTCAAGTAGCTTGTTCAAACATAAGCTTAAAAGATACTTTTATAATTAGGCCCCATTCATTTTTCGGTAAATTATTTACCCAGGTAAATGCACTTATTTGGGTAAGCGTTTCCTAGGAAGACTTACCTCGGTAAGTGCATTTACCCATGTTCTTTTATTTCTCAAGTAAAGAAGGCAATGCCCATTTTACCCATAAAAATCCATTATTAAAAGGGATATTTTTGTCACATTCAAGTGTTAGTGACTTTTCCCCCATAAAAATCCAACTTTTTCCTTCTCAAAATCCAATAAAAGAACACCCCCGTAGAGTCAAGTTGGTCTCACTTTGTTTAATGTACCAACAATCTCAAGATTCTTATCAGAAGAAAAAACAAGGACAAGCACGATTTTGCTGATATTTGCTCTCTTAGTTACTAGAAAAAAGTTTTGCTGATATTTGTTTCCTTATATAATGATCACATATTGGTAAAGTTTTTGTTGGAGAGAATCAGATGGGTTTATACGAGTCGTAATCAAAATTGTGCATAGCCTACTTCTTGGCTAACTCAGGTTACTCAGCTTATCCTGATGGTGCCTGGTGACTGGTGTGGGTCCCCACCTGTTTGGTTAACGGTCCTTAAGTTGTCAATCCTTTCCTTCACGCTAGTATAGACTTTTTAGTTTGTGATCCAATTCGTAGTTTGCTCAAAATCTAATTCTGGAAGAAATTTGTCGTCAGGTTTCTTACATTTTTTTCATCAAAATCTAATAGGTTTTCCTGGAAGAAATTTAACGAGGCTGTGTCGTTTAGGGTCGTTCCTCCTTTCACTCCCGTGAAGGGCTGCAAATGAAAGGGACTCAAATCGGATATAACTAGATCTAAATTTGATTCGTGAGATTCAAAATTGAATTGAATCTTTATCTACTGAATTATCCGACTTAATAACAACTTGGGTACCACCACCCCCTCTCCCAATTTTTATGAATTCTATCAGATTTTTTTTTTTTTTTGTATAAGCAAAGGATCCATTAGAAACATCAAAAAGTTAAGGACACAAAAGGAGACCCCTCATACAGAAATACATGTTGTGCCTTAAATGGAGGGGTATAGGGATCAAAATATGAGTTCTATTTACATTGGCCCTTTTTGCTATGTCATGAGTAGGGCTCACATCATTCCTGTTTACATACATCATTTTAAGTTCCACAGAAAAAGAGAGTAGATACTTGATGTGCTCGATCAGTTGCTGTTCATTCCACCTTATGTTTCCCGTCCTCTGAGCTTTAGCAAAATTTCCTTTGCATCCGACAGAATGGTTACTTGACTGATACCCAGCAAAATGAGTCTTCTCAAGCTTCTGATGATTGCCTAGAGCTCAGCTTCTAAGCCATTAAAGGCCTTGCACTGTTGTCCTTCTGCAATGCAAACATTGTGTGTGTAAGACAATAAGTATAAACCTGTGGAGGCTGATCTAGTAGTTGTGTTCTAGGATCCATCAACTATAACTACCGAATGGGAAGTTAGGGACAGTTGGTGGGTGAAAAGGGTAGTGTGTTCATGATGGTGATGGGTTTGAATTGGGTTTTTTGTATTTGGGATGTAAAAGTTTTTTTTTATGACTTCAAGGGGGTTTGGGGACTTTCCTTTGAAGATCACTTTGTTTCTATGATCCCGTAGTGCTCTCAGAATGGCTAGTAGTCTAGCCAAGGAGAAATATTGGAGATCTTTCCTCTCAGGGTTCCTTTCTAGCCACCAAGTTAGGAAGTTTGGTGATCTTGATGCAATCAAGGCATCTGGATTGAAGCCAATTTGAGTCGATATCCAAACTGCTCTCGCTAGAGAACATTCAAAGAAGAGATGCGTCTGGGTTTCAGGTGCATTTCCACAAAGAACACAAGAAGAGTCCCCTGAGTGTTGCAAGACCCAAATTGATTGCTTCATTTTGACTCCATTCATCAAGACTTTCCAGCCAAAAAGTTAGCATCGAAGGGGAGCTTTTGTGGTCCACAACTTTGACCACTTTATTTGTTCACTAGAGGGGCCCATTGCTTCAGTTCTTGAGAAACTTCTATAGGTCGATCGGATTGAATATTCCCCATCCTTTGAATTCTTCCACAACAATTTGTTCCCTTGGCCTTGAGGGTTCAAGGGTAGATTTAAAATAGCTTCAGCTAAGGAGTCTTCAAAAACATGGTGTAAGAGTTGGGAGTTCCATTCTCCTTGGGATGTGATAAAATCTTTCACCATCCAATGCCTGACAATGGAGAGTTGGGGCTGTTGGGATTGAGGTTTGTTGGTGGGGAGCCCTAGAACCCAAGGATCCGTTTGAGAGTTTATTCTTTCTCCGACTCCAATTTTCCAACAAAGGTGGGGGGTGAGACCTCTTGGGTTTGACCTCAAAGATAGTCTTATTTCTCAAATATTTTGCCTGGATCTGTTCCATCCAAAGCTCATCCCCTCTCGTAAGGAGTCGCCATAATTGCTTGGCAAAAAGTGCCTTATTCATTGGTTCCGCCTGCCTAAGTCCCAAACCTCCCTCCTGATTTTGGTTTGCAAATTTTGTTCCATGTGATGTTATGGCCCCCATGCTGATTTGTTTCCCCCTGCCACTAGAAATTTTGTTGGAGTTGGTCTAGTCTCTTTAGTAACTTCTTTAGAAATAGGGAAGTAAACATCTGATAGACTGGAATATTCTGGGATACTGATTTTAACATGGTAGTTCTACCTACTTGAGAGAGAACTTTTGCTTTCTAGGTGTCCGGTTGACCTTTGAGAGAGTTTTGTCAAATGGCCTGACATTGCCTTTTGTTTCGTCCATCTAACGAGCCCAAGTACTTCATATTGGGTTGCATCATCTCCATGCCCATCAGACGGTTGAGTAGCTTTTGTTTTTCTGGTGTTGATTCAAACTTAACCCATGAATCTTAGCCAAGCATATAAGCATAAATATAAATGTTTAAATACTATCAATTTGGATTAGGGTAGATCCACCTCTGGTCGTTGTTAACATATTAGTTTTAGATAAACTTGATTGGATTTCAGGTGGATACCATTCGCAGCCCTATCTATTAGAAAGGCTAATAAATTGGAAAGCTTAGTTTAAACTAATCCAAACAAAATCTCACGTATACAAGCAAAAGTCATGGAAAATAATAGAGATTATGAGATGGAATACTTGAGGATCAAACTGAAGTTGTAATATCATGTTGAAAGATAACATGAGAATATGAGATGGAATGTCTTTTTCTAAGTTGGTTAAAATGGAAGTAGTGGACATGTTTTTCGCCCATTTGACAATTTGCTTACTTTTTATTTTGGTGGAAGGATAATTAGCTTAGGAATTGGAGTGGAGATCTTTGAAGATTCTTGCTCAACTAAATAACTAATTAAAAATGGTAGGATTTTTTCCCTAATTGCTCTTTTATTAAGGAGATACGTTTTAATTAAGAAATTACAAATTTTTGCTCTGCAAAGGATCAGATTGAATTCACACAACAAATTATATAAAAGAATGATTATTATTTAAAACTCACCTTCACTTTTACCTTTTCCCTAACTTTCAAAACTTGGAGTACCCCAATGCCCATACCAGAGAATTTTAGTAATTTTTATGCTATGACATTAATTATATAATTATTGATTTGGTCACATTTAGCAAATCTTTTTGTGCAATCTTTTGGGCTTCAAGCTTGGAAGACTGAATATCAGTCTTTTTCTATTTAGTAACCAAAAGCTGGTAAGACCAAGAGACATGTGCACGGAAAAACTTAAAAGAGACTGAAAATGCCAATTTTCAAGAAGTTTCAAATGAAAATTTCTGGTCTTTTCCGTGTGATAAATAGCCTCTAAACACACTTCTGTTTGGACTGTTAGAAGATGTTTTTAAAAAGACTTATCAAATGATACCAAATCTAACCCTGAACTTTTATCAAAAATTTGTTTGTAAAACAAATAAAATACAAAAGAAATATTCATGTCCTCCAATCCAAAGGTGTGACCGTCACAAACCCATTTAGATGAATAAATGAGCGCCGCCCCCCGATTCATGTGGTGAATACGCCATGAATAAGTACTTATTTGTAAAACAAGTATTTAAAAATTAAGCAACTTGAGTGGTTTATTTAATAACTTTTTATTTAAGTACGCATTAGAATAAGTATTATTCTTTTTTTTTTTTTTTGGGNGGGGCGGACAAGAGTGTCACCAAATTTTCAGAACTGCCCCATCTCCTTAAAAAGATAGAAGCCTTATAGTTTCTATCATTTTGAATCTCCATATCTGCAGTGGCAATAAGTGGGCTCCTACACCTCCATTTAGGGTTGATCTCAACCGAACCCGCTTTTGTCATTTTTTTTTTGTTTTTCAACATTTCACATTAGGGTTATAATTATCATTTTTTTTTTGTAAAAATAAGTATTTATGAGATAATCAAATTGCCAAACACTGCAACACAAATAAGTACTTAAAATAAGCATAAGTGGTTTGAGAAAAGACTTCCCAAACTTCAATAATTACTAATTCAAATAAATACTTAAATACAGTGTTTTAAAACTTGGATTGAACATAAAACCAGTTTGTCAGGTCAGGGGTCAAATGGTTTGACCATGAGTCGCAAAACAACTACAAATAGTAGATTTTGTAACTTATAACATGAATATAAGTGGTGGTTAAATGATTTTGCTTTTTATTGAAAATATGTGCATAATTATTCAATTTGGTTGATTGATGCCCCAGTTTCTTCATTTTGCTTTTTTTTTAATATCACAATTCAGAAGGTTCGGTCATTAGGGTTCCGCTTCTTTGAGAGGTTGCTTTATGCAGATTTTCCTGCGTTCACTTTTCTGGTTAGTGAGGTGTGTGCATGAATGCTTAAGGAGTGCTATATTTATACACCTTAAAACCCCAACCTTTAAACCTGAGAATCATTGATTCATATACATCACAGATGTATGCAGTATTTATATATGCTCTCATATGAATAGATAATGTAGGATTGGTTTACCTGACATATTAACCCTAATCTTTTTTTTAGGGCATAAGCCTAAGTCACTAACCCAACCTTCAATCTAATTAGGGTTAAATTTGAGTCGAATCTGACTATTCAAGCTCAACTCGATAAAAAAGAATGAGACTCAAAGTTCGAGTAGACTCAAAACTTGTAGACTCAAATCGAGTAGCCTAACTAGAAATATGAGCTGGAATTCAAGTAGACTCAAAAACTTGTATGTTCAATCTCGGCTGGGCTCAAGCTGGACAACGAGGCAAGATTCTTATACAAAAAATAAAAAAAAAAGTATACATATAAAAATTAAAATGTACGTATAAAAGATTATGTACATATATATACATAAAATTATTTATTATTATACATATAAAAATTTGAAAATATGATATACGTAACTTTAATTAAACTCATGAGCTTCAAAGGTCGAGCTTTATTGGGTTCAAGCCTAGCTCAAAGTTTGATTTACACCAAACTCAATCTAGATTTTTACAAGCTGAACTCAAATATCTTATCAAAGCTCTGTTGGTATCTGCCCCTAATTCCTAGCCCAACCCAAAATCATCATGTTGGATTTAGGCTTTAGCTAGCCCAAGTTGCATCTCTATATACTTGTGAACCAACAATCTCTCCTAATAATCGAAGCCTTTCACACTCCAAAGTCCCTTGCAAATCACCATACCTTTCTTTCCGCAGTTTCTTTAAACCAAACATAATTCTCTGTTTTTTCACCTTTTGACTGTAATCTCATTCTAATCTTTAATTCTTTTTTTTTTTTGTTTGTCTACATGATTTTATTCTAATCTTAAAGCTATTCTTAATTAATCATTTGGGAAACCTTTTAGTCTATAATCTTGGTATCCCACACAACAAAAAATGATTAGGGAAGCGAGTTAAGAAGAGATAATCATAAAAACAAAATCTTATCATACAACCCTGCTAGCAATAAATCCTAAAATCAAGGTTCAAATTATCGCGACATACTTATGGAACCTATTAGTTTTTGAACCCACAAAACTTTATTTAGTACCTGTTTGGGGATTTTTACAAGTTAGAAGTTGGAACCCCTCTTAATGTATCTTTGCATTGTTTTTGCAAGGCTTTTTATCGCTCTTAGCAGTTCGCAGTTTAGCACAATATAAATATAGGTGAATGGTTCGGTCATATCTAGTCATTTTAGGCTCCATATATCATTTGGAAATTGAAACCCTAATTAAATAAAATTTTGAAATCCCCCCCTCAGCCAAACCTTTTGGAAATATATGGATGTTTGTTTTTATTTGTTTGGGTTATGGTTGAGGTGGCCTCGGGTGCTACGTGTTATTTTCGTGGCCATCTTATCACTTCTTCTATATCAGCATCACGTCATCAGATAAGTGCGACCAAGATAGGAGAGTGTCGTACGGATAAGGAGGACAACTCCGTCGGGGATTAGGTCTCATCCCAAAGACCTCAGCGGGCAACATCATCCCGATAACCCCAAAAGCCTTATTCAAACAGGATACGGATCTTCGGCTATTAAAAGGTAACTCTTGCTCAAGGTAAGGGACTTTTAACTCTCTAGCATCCATATTGTTATTTTGCTCGGATCAGCATTGCTTTCTCAACTGTTCGGCCCGACCACCCATTCTCATCACTGATTTGAGCGTCGGATTACCTACCCAAGGAATAAGTCCTTGGGCCCTCGACTATGTTCTTAGTTTCAGATCTTACTGTATGGTTTCATCCTTCCACCTCAACTTCGTCCAATTGACAGGATTATCTGACTGCGGCCTCGGTTAAGAACACCTCGGATCGAGCAACATCACCATTCATATGCAGTTTGATCAAGACATAACTTGATATCCATGTATAGAGAGTAATTGGATAAGTAACCAAACATAGCTAGGTACCTCCGTAATTTTAGAAGGTGATGCGAAATCTGTTATTCATCTCTTGATGGAGAATTCATCTACACCTTCACGGAGTATCCACACTCTCATTATGAATTGCAAGAGATATCTTTTTCACCTTCCCTCTTACTTAGTTACTTTTGTTCCTTCTTGTAATCGAGTTGTACATTGTTTTGCCAAACATGCTTCTTGATTCCTGATCTGGAATCTGATGTAATTGAGTAATTTGTTGAATGGATTGGACTAAGGGCATTTTCAAAAAACTAAAAATAAAAATAAAAAACATAGGTAGATACCCGAAGGCATATTAGGTGCTTGTTATATGGACTGTTTTCTGATTGTGAATTGAACAATGAATGGTTTTGTCTTTTGGGGTAAAAAAGAAATCTAAGTAATTAACAAGTCAAGAAACAACTCCTACGAAAGGATCCAAATAACCTTGGTGCGGTTAAGACAAACAAAAACATGATCAATTAATTATCTTCACCAATCATGAAAATTGAGGAATTTGTTTTACATAATTCACATCTTGTTTCATTATAGGTACAGTGAGAAAGATGGTACAAAGAAGGAAGATAAAAAGGAAACAAAAACGAAAAGGTATAAAAATAAAAAGCTGTCTCTTTCCCTCCTTTTTCCCCTTTCCGTTTTTCCTCTGTTAGGTGTTGTGTCCATCTCTGGATGATTTTATTTTATTCTTCTTTTGTGCTTAATAGGAATCCCACGAGGTCTATACTCTTAAATGACAAGATCAAAACTGGACAAATGGAGGAAAACAACAAAAGCACTTGACAGTTAGACAGGATTTAGTTAAACGAATTGGATTTCTAGCTTGGTTTGTTGTGCTGATAAGGTTGGATTATTCATGCCTTGATCCTCCATCCCCAATTCCTCTGCACTGTATGTTGAATGAACGCCATAGAATACGTAGAACAAGGTGACGAGACAAGCCCATATACCAAACCTCTGGAAAGCCCTAATTTTGAGGGTAGTCATGAGGAAGACATTAAGAAAAATGGAGGCCGCGGCCGGCCATGGCATGAGCGGCACCGACCACTGGGTGGGTCGGGCGGTGCAAGGGAGCAAGTAGTGGAAGAAGGCAGTGATGATGAAGAGAGAGCCACCAAAGATGGCCAAGCCCCACCACTGTTCGTGGAATTTCCATGACATGGAGAAGCCAACTGAGCTTGATGAGAGCAGCAGCAGGAAGAGGAGAACGGGTGCCGGATGGTTGCTCCCGTTCACCACATACCGGCGGTAGATCAGCGCGTTGGCCACCAGGTAAAACACCAGCAGCGTGCCGATGGAGATCATGTCCACCACTATGTCAAGACCTGTGAATAGTGCAATTGTTGCTGTGCATATCCCTGCACAATTGAATTAAACCAGTTTCATGGGCTTAGTTCTATTTATTTCTTTATTTTTTTTTGAAAAAGTACGGACAAATCAATTTAGATTTCTGAATTCCATTGCAGACCTATAAACATTCAAAATGTAAAACCCCCGATGTTATACATCAATGCTCACCCGTGAATTGACATCAATTTAATTATTAGTATGGGGTCAACGGCAATTACACTTACACTTCCTCCCTTTTACAACAGACGATGGAATGCATTAAATTATTAAAATATCTGCTTGAATTTTCTTTTTTGTTTTCTTATATTTTCTCTTACACTTTAATTGATCTAAAAAGACATTTTTTTTCCAAGCAAAATCAAATAAAATAACAATAATCATTTCACTGACATATAGAAATTAATTTTCTCTAATAAATAAAAAAAAATCAACCCCAACTTTAAATTTATATCTACGAAAAAGAAACCTCTGCCATTTCAGCTGAAAATTGAATCTAATAAAAAATCTGTAAGGATCTATTAGATCAAGCAAGAAAACTTCAATATTATATTAAGAAAATTAGTCAAATAATAAATGGTTCAAATAAATATAAAAGAATAGTTTGGTGATTTAAAAAACTTCAAACAGCTGAATGTAAATTTTTTTTTTGACATTAACTGATGACCCTTTTTCTTTCTGTGAGTGTGCAAGCACGCACTAAGGACGTCCATTGTCCGGTACTTAAATTGCCAAGTCATGGCCCGGAGAAAATGGACAAAATATTCTTTTCATGATATTTCTTACATTTGACAAAGAGGAAAAAAAGGACAGAACAAGAATTGGTGATAAGAACAACACATTCATGTTAAAGAAGCTTGACCTTGAAAACATTACATCACCCCCACCCCCACCCCCACTGGTTTTGAAAAAACAAAACGAATAGATATATTGGTTTAAGGGGGGTGCTTGGATCATTATTTATTTAAATAAGACAGTACCTTAATACTTCTAATTAAGGTACTATATATATATTGGCCTTACTCTTTACTGGAACACATTTTCTCTATTTTATTCTTAATTAAATGGGTGCTTTCCACTTTTGCTTTCTGCTTTGGCAAACGGTGTGTTTTTCTTTCTTATTCGGTGGTGTAAAGTGGTAATCTAATCTCACTATGCATATATGGGTGCAGATCGAAAATCCTTAATTACCTAAGAAGACGGTGGCATTCAGAGGAGTTCCTGTTGAAGGGTGTACTTTGGCAAACCAAAATGGCACCAGTCTAGCCCTTCCTATAACACAGAGATACCTGGCTTGGCCAAGCATGGCAACCAGCAGAGACGCCACGATTCCCAAGGTTGCACCGGCTCCAACAAAATTGCTTGCCCATTCCCAACCAGCTATCATTTTGAAAGCCAGAGCGAATGATGCTGATGCATTAGATATCTATACAAATCATGGAAAAGATATGGCTTCTGTTAGCAGTGAGAATATAAATGCACCAAAATCCAAATGGGTTAATTAATTCTATCCTTTTCTTGAGTAGAATCTATGAAATTTGGTTCAGTACTCACCTCATTGTAAGGGATCATCACGCACAGAGCCAGGGACATCAGACAATAGAGTGCGGTAACAATGACAACAGACCCAACAATTCCCACCGGCAGCGCCTTAGGAGGGTTCTTGATCTCTTCTGCCATGGTCGACACAGTGTCGTAGCCAATATAGCTGATGTAGACTATAGCTGCTCCATCGATTACACCTCTAAAACCAAAAGGAGTTAGTCCGCTTGGGTGTATCAGATTCTTGGCGCTCCCAATACAGAAGCCAGAAATTATAATAAATCCAAAGAAGATCACATGGAAGACTGTCATAACGATGTTCAGTATGGAGCTCTCCTTGGTGCTGCAATCCAAAAGACATTACCATTACTCCACAGTCGAATATAATAACAACCCATTAACTCATTACTGTAATACTAACGACAAAACCATAGAGTAACTAGTAGTGGTTATATTTACCACTGTTTCAGAACATATCACCAGAAAGGAACAGAGGAGGAAAAAAAGAAAAGAAAGGAAAAACGTTAACTCACTTCTTGTCCATGTTACACAGTTACAGACAAACAAACTTACAAACGAAGACCTGGCCAGTAAAAGCAGCAGGCAAGAACATAAAATAATCAAGGAAAAACCCAGTAAGGAAGCGAGGGATCAAACCTATGGCATAGACAAAGAGTAAGAAGAATGACAACTGCAACAGCTGGGAAATCCAGTCTATTATAACCATTTGCTAATCCACCCACTTCAACTCTCCATGAATTAGGTTCTTCTCCGAATGTACAAGACAGATACTCGGTGAAGCTTCTAGCCACTGCCGCGTTTGATAAGACATATTCCATTAATATATTAGCTCCAGCAAAGTATCCCATGAACTCCCCTAAACCATTTCAACAATATCACACACAGAAATAGCAGCAGAAAGATAAGAAGACCAATAAACACAGAAAGATGAGAAAACCTGCAGCAAAGAGATTTTTTACTATATATGCATGGTCATACCAAAGGTTACTCTTAGATAACTGAAGGCTCCTCCGGCCACCGGAATTTGAATGGAGAATTCAGTGTAACACAAGGAAGAAAGGAGTGCTGATATTCCGGCAATGATATAAGCAAGAACGACAGCGGGGCCGGAGATGTTAGCTGCTACGCGACCTGTTGTCACGAAAACTCCGACGCCCAGCATTCCTCCAACACCAAGGCCTACCAAGTCAAACCACTGGAGTTTTCTTTTCATGTCTGCACCTGATCTTAACCTTACTTGGTTCAGCTCTTGGTCTGGAGTCCATGTAGCAAACATTCTCTTCTTTAGTCTGTGGGGTGTCTCAGGGAGGGACTGAAGATAAGCGAGGAAAGAGGTGTGGTTGGGTGAAGGTTGAATTGCTGTCATTTTTGTACAACTCAAATGGCTTCTTTGGTACCATGCGAGAATGAAGAACATGTTTATATATGGAATGGAGGGGTGGTATGAAGGATGATGGATCACTCATTTGCTGCACTAGGATTTTCTGGAATTACGGTTTTGTCCCTTTCTTTCTATCTCCTGAGAGAGAGAGAGAGAGAGAGAGAAAGGAACTGTGTGAACTGTGTACTTTGTTAAAAGCTGAAAGCAACTACTAAATGATGCTTAGTTTATTTATTTATTTTTATGAGAAAACGATATGGCCTTGCCTCCAAGATCTCAAAATAAGAAACCCATCATCATCAAGGCAATGTTTTACCGAATTACAATTAGTAAACTTGTTTAATCTTTTGGGAGTCCAAGATTTATCGAATTGGGTGTGATAACTTCTCCTTTAAACATGTAGCTTGCCTCCCACTCAGGAAAACGTGTAATAAAGTTTAAATCAAATTAAGAATTAAAGGTAGCTCATACTAGATATACGAGTAATAAGACAAATCTGATTTAGTTTTATAACTCAAATAAAATACTGATCAGGCATGGAGAATTTCAACATGTAACAATAATATTGCTGTTGTTAATTATAAATCAAATCTAATTGGAATTTTTACATTTTAAAAAACCAAATTTGGTCTCTATTAGCAGATTCAGTTCTGTTTAGAAAATAATTGTCAATACAGTGAGCTGGGGAATACTTGGTATTTTCAACGAAACTGCCCCTTCATTAAGATGTACTCAGAAGACAGACTGACGGAAGGATGCATGGAAAACGATGAATTCGAAGAACTGGTTGTTATATAATACGTATTTGGCCTTCTGACTTTCTTTGCTTTTGCTTTTCATAGGTTTTCTATATGGTTATGAGCATCAAACCAATCTCTTCTTTTCTTCTATTCAGCCAACAACTCATCCACCACTTCAATTTCATTCTCTTATCCTTTTTTTATAAGCAGTTTAACAGAAAATTAATCATTTCGAACAATATAATCTATCCAAAATTCAAAATCCGACGGATACATCTTAATTGTCCATTAAGGCATTAACTATGAATCATCGGTTTTTGTGACACAACTCCCAGGAAGGACCACCAAAGTTTCCAATATATTGACAAATGTATTCTGTCAATTTTAGTTAAGTACAGCAGTGATCAACTGCTTCACGCACTCCAAGCTCTCTGGCTCTGGCCAGTGGGAGTGAAAGAGTTGTGTTGGAATCTCTTTCTATCTTTAGTCTTCTCTAGTTTGTGGTTCTTTGAATTGGGGACCCATTACTCACATGGTAATTTGGTCCAAACAAAATAGTAGGTATGGTTGTCCTGTACTCAAAATGGGGCATGGTCATTAATTAGTATATATTATAGACAAAGCCCTCACACAAGTTACCTCAAATCCTTTATAACAAATCAAATCTGATTTATTTTCTTAACTCAAATAAAAACCTCACACAAAGTCAATCCCAATTTATTCTCCCAGAATCCAATAATAACTTGGGTTTACCACATTAGGTCCCAAACAAAACATGCATGTAGATGTAGGTATAGCTGCTCCTACTCAGTATATATGGGTGGTCTTTAACTAGTGTTCCATTAAGTTGAGAGTTTAGGCAGTTGATTAAGACTATTTCTCTTGGGGCTTTAAGTTTTTTTTTTTTCAACTTTTTTATATCTACAGGGGTAGTTAATTAAATGAATAATACAACATCACATCAATAATAAGAGTTGGATTCGAAACCACATCACCCTTAAGACAATTCATCTAGCATACCAACTGGGCTACCCCTCAGTTCATCAAGCGATGCTATGTATTATGAATACCTTAACTTCTCCATCAAAGCAAACCCTTTTGTAAAGCTTAGGGAGAATAATGAATTGAAGATCATGATTTATATAGTGTCAATCATGTCACTTTTATTTGACAAAATGTACAGGCTTAAAAGTGGCATGATAATCTGTTTTATCTACTAATCAGCTGAAGGTAGTTTTAACAATTTATGGGTTGTTCAGTTTTATAATAATGATCAGTTTGAAAAGTGTTTCAATGGGAACCCAAACAATCATAATAAGCCAATATATTGCTAACTGGTGTGATAATTTTTGTTTAAACCGTATTAATTTGATGCATACTGGCAATTCACTTTTGTGCAAGTTCTGTGTAAAGGTCCAATCAATTCTTTATAGCCAACCCAAACAATCATAATACACCAATATTGCTAACATCATGAACCATGTTTAATTTTGTGATTTGAGGGTGTGACACAAATGGCAATAATGCTTCTGGGATTGCTCAATCTGAACCAATTCCAACTCTATCTCCATTGAAAATTCAGAGTAATTAGGAAGACATTTGATCCGTAAAGCTAGCTAGCTTTTGGATCTTCATAATCCAGTCCTTTTCATAAACCGTTTTGTTGCATGTATCTTAAAAATGTTCTTATCAGCACCTAGTTTGGTCCAAGTTTCATTTATTTTTCCTCAAATAATGGCATCAGTTGAAAAGGACTATTCAGGTTGGTAAAACTAGCATTCGGCTGAAATTGTTTATGGTGGCCTTCAAAATTGTTGAACTTTCAGTATGTTGTAAAGCTCTTATGTTTGTCCTGCATCATATCCTATATAAAAATGGACTTATAAATGGACAAACATGTCCTTAACTTCTCTTTCCTCCAGAAACACATCTGAAAGAAGTAATCTCAAAAGTAGTTGAAAATCCCTCTACCTTCTCATAGGCTTTTCTTTTTAGGCAATGCACTACTACAAGGACACTAGAAACAGAGAAACCAGCTTTCTTATAGGCTGTTAATCCAAGGAAAATAACGGCTTCAAGGCAAAATAAAACCGTGAAAGTCAAGAGCCAGATTGTAGCAATCTCACAATCAGATTTAGTTCAAAATGCTTTTTAACACTTTCATGTGAAGGATTGATTTCATCAACAATAGCCATAACGTGGCTTTTGTTCTCCACCTTCTCGATCAAATTGGTTAAGTCATTCCTCCGTTTCTTTAAACAGAAGGGAATGGTGGAACAGGATCCATGTAGCCAACCCTAGAATAGTTGGGATAAGGCTTGGATGATGATGATGATGATGATCTAGTGACCTCAACTGTGGCAAAAGAAAAGATAATTTTAGTTTCAATCAGAAGGTGGAGAAGAGATGAATTTGATATCTTGCCAGACTTAATTAAGGGTCTCTATTAATTGATAATTAAGGTACTACTGGTATGTTATCATTATTTAACAAGGCAGTTGATTTTTGTCTCAACTACACAAACAACTTTTCTTTGATGGAAAAGGCTTGTCTGGCCTCCAGTTCCTACATTTACCAATATGACTCTGACAAAGGATAAATGTGTCATTTTCTGGAACAGAGAGGAACCAGGGTGGGACAGAGGCACAGAGTAGGGTGCACGGGAGGCCCACTGCCCATACCACAGAGAGCTTAAGGTTCCACAGGTTTGATTCCACGCCTCCTAAATGAAGGGGTGCCATGCAACCATTTTGACTATTGGGTCATTGGCAGATAATGTGTCTTTCAACTTTGGTCACCTAAGTTGCCATTTACAATATTGACACTGATAAGTTTCATTGTGTAATATAATTCAAATAGGAAGAATGAAACCCAAATATCAAAATGTTGCTAGTTGCATGGAACTGTATGTTGATGGGATCCTAGGGTCAAATCTAGACTCCTTAATTTTAGTCTTCTTTAACCATGTCTAATCCACTTGGGTAGATAGAAAGGATTTGATCAAGTCAATCACTTTTAGTGGATTCTATACACCCATAGTGTACATGCATCTACTTAATTCCTCCATAAAAAAATGATTCTTTATTGTTTATTCAGTTTAATTACTTGCAGAGATAGAAGATTTCTTCAGTTAGTTTAACCATCTTAATTTAATAAAGCGGATGCTTTAACCCAACTACTATCAAGATTCTGATTAGCTTGCATTTGCAATTGAGATCTCCACATATGATATAAACTCCAAATGCTTAGAGATATTCACATATGATCTCAAAGTCATCATTAAGGGTGGCCATGAGTCGAGAGCTTCTTACGAGCTATTAGAGTTCGATTCATAAAATGCTTGGTTCAGCTCGGTTTAATTCAAGTTTCGAGCCGAGTTTGAGTCCAAGCCTAATTGAACCTAGTATAATAAATAAATAATTTTTATTGTATACATACATATATATAAATATATATAATAAATAATTTTTATTATATATATATATAATAATATTTTTATTTATTATATATAATAGTAAATAATTTTTATAATTTTTAATTTTTTGTATATAAAATAAAAAAAATATTTTTATATGTATAATTTTTATTTTTTAGAAAAAAAGCTTGGCTTACAGTCAAGCTCGAGCCGAGCCGAGCTCGAGCTCAAGTCTCTAACTCAAATCGAGCTTGATCTTGAACTCGAGCCTAACACTATTTCTGCGAACTGAGCTCGAATAGCCAAATATTCGATTCGTCTTGACTCGAATCCACCCCTAGCCCTCATCATCTAGAATCTAAATCATATCATTTAGAATCTAAAATAATATAGGATTAGTTCCACTTTTTTTTTTTTTTGAAACCCGTAGTCTTAGGGTGTACATACCTTGCTAGTTTGACTACATTCACAATATGTGGGCAGGGCCTATCAAAGGTGATGAGAAAAAGCCTTAGGACCATCATATATACATGGACACTAGACCTATTCATGGGCTGGGTGGCTTGACGGGCCGGCCCGGCCCAGCCCGACCCGCAATAAATTCGAGTCGGGCTCGGGATTTGCCAAAATAGACCGGCCCGAGCCTGACCCGGCCCGACCTATAGACTAAACTTAAAAAACCCTAACTCCCTAAGCCGAACCTTCTCTTTCACCTCTTTCCCCTTAGCCGAACCTCTCTTCTCTTCAGTCTTCACATCCTCCTCAGTCCTCACACTCTCAGGCAGCTACACAATCGGCAAGGCGACGAACATTCATCGGCGCAACAACTCCGGTAGTGAGTCCTCTCCTTCTCTCTCTCTCTCTCTTTCTCTTTCTCTCTCTCGTTTTTCTTCTCACTTCTCTTTCAAATCTCAAACACCGGTGAGGCAGCGAATATAGGCACTGGCGGCGGCAGT